GTTCGAAGTGAATCCTGTTCACGTTCGTGCGTTCGACACGTGGATCCGTACCTACCATGCATTTCGTCACAAAAACTTCCGGTCCCGCCCACTGGTCCATGGTCCGTGGAAGATTCCTTTAAGGACGAAAAATACGGTTCAAAGAAGAGCCGAAATCGATCTCACTGCCTTTTCCAGCTTGAAATTGCCGACTTTCTGGGAGCACGGCGTCGACACTCTGCGGATCATTGGCAACAAGTCACTGATAGTGATGGTCCATATATCGACGACAGATATTGTTCTATAATAATACAGTAGCCAAAGCTCGCTATGCACTAATGCGGGTTTTTTTTTCAATTGACTTGCATTGAAATATATTTCGCTTTTTGCAAAAAACCTTGAAGTAGAAAGCTTGCTTCAAATAGGAAAAAGGTTCTAAATTTCTGAAATTTTTCTACACTGCCAAATAAAGATTTTGAGGTCTTTTGGCATGGTTCTACACTAACGTCAACATGAACGACAGCTCTGGAAGAAATTTTTGTTTATTTACAAATAAAAACTTAGAACATACAAATGAGCAGACTGAATGCACAACAAACGAGTGAATTAGGGCTGTGCTGACCACTGTAAACATAAATAAACGATTCAACGGTGTTGTACTGCTCAACAAGAAGAAATCTACTCTTTGCAAGATACACCGATATGAGAACACAGGTTTCTTAGGATTCACTAGCGCCACTTCTCTTCACTTGCTGTCTGGTGCACTTTGGAGATCATACCAAAACAATTTTCCAAGCTCCAACGAACATTAATAGAATAGTTAGTAGTTAAAGTTATGGAAACATTATGGCCCTGCTCCAAATAGTCAGTAAAGGAGCCAATCAAGGACTCGTAGGCAGATCAATCTTCAGAAATCTTCAAAACAACGGGGGAAAACATGAAAAATAACCGTAAATCTGTCCTTGTAGCACAGCTTGCATCTGTTTAGTGAACTTCTCCCGTGCTCCTTAGCACTGGGAAGCGAGATTTATCATCTTAGCTATTCCACACTAAACTGAGGACTGCGCACAGCAGCGTTTTTAGTTGAACGAATCTCCGTACCGAGGTGGCCGCTGTTGAACTTTTAGGGATTTGTAGGAGAACATCATGGGCGTCGAATAGATCACCCCATCGTCCCGAACGAGTGTAATCGGCACCTCGGACTCCTCGCCACCGTAGTCCCAGCCGATGGCTTCGCTCTTTATCACGGAATGTGCTGGCACCTGGCAAGTCAACGATTCATCCGACCTGTAAATCAATAGATGAACGGATTATTCGGTATTTTTCAATATAACTCATCTCAGATCAATACCCCTCAAAAATTTCGTGGCCAACACTCGAGGGGTAACTTCGGCAATTGTTCCGATTTAGCTCTAATCTTCTATATTGAATTGATGCCAATAATCCACACAATTCCTACAGCCCTGAGCGAAGCACTTTGGGTCGGACGAAAATACGCCCCCCCCCCCCCCTCCTTCACCAATGTAAATCATTTTGCATAACTTTTCTTTGTGCTAAAGGAAGGCAGATAATGAAATGAGCTTTCCGATGCAATGCGGAGCGAAATTTGTCCGTCGCACTCATACCCAGACGAGCGTATTTTCATAACTGTGCTTTCCAAAAAATGCTGACTTTCTTTTACAGCAAAAAATATTTCGTAGCAGAAATATGCACAAATAATGTGACAAAATAGGCGACTGTTCACACCACTACCATAGTTTTCTTCACAAACTTTCTAGGCAGGGAAAATCATCTAAAGTACCAGTGTTTCGCTATCTAAACAGTATCGAATTTGCCAATGTTAAAGGTTTTGAATCGAGATTGAAGTTGAAATTAGAAATCCTTGTCACTATGCATTTCATCATGTCATTCGCAAATTACGTTTGATAAGGTTGGCTGTGGAAGACATTTTGTTCCTGTATAATTTTTGCTAACCAACGGAGCGTCCTTCTCTGCTGATATAATTTTTGCTAACCAAGGAGGTCATTCCAGGAATGCCTCACATTCTCCGAAACGCGTCTTTCTTTTCTTTAGACGCGAATACAGAGTACGTGCAGCGGAACACAGTTCCGTGGTTCATTCCTGTCCTGAGCGGCCCTCTAAACACCAAAGAAGTAGCAAAGAAAAATCTCTTAAAGAACTGCAGTTTATCACTTTTTCAACAATTTTTACCCAAAGTCCACGTATGAAGGTTGCTGATGGTCCTAATTAAAATGACAAGCTGTTTTCCCTAACGTTTCACGCGCACTCTCTCCACTCAGACACAAACATGCAAAAAAAATTGACACTGGCAAGATAAGGATACGAACCACGCGACGTCTTCATCAACCCCTTTTTTAGTATTCAGAGGACCGCTCAGGAAAAAAGAACAGCACTCCTCTTTTTCATGACGTACCCCTACATCATGTGAAAAACCGTTTCGAGAAAGCTGGGCATTTCCCTCACAGTTCTTTCGTGAGTATCACATTACGTGAGTGCCGTAGTGCTTATAACTTTCACCTCCACAGTTGACCTTGCGTTCACGACACGTTATCTTCATCAGCGGGGTCCATTCTCGTTAAAAGATTAAGATTGAAAAGCTGTAGAAGCGACTAGCACTGGTAAATGTTGGTTTTCTTGAGGATTTCACACAGAGACTAGATGATGGTCGAGCGAAACTACATAGTGCTATTTTACAAACAGATGGCAGCATGTGATTTGATCAGAGAAACGACGAAGCCGAGGGCAGATGCTCGAGGCAGACCTCAGAACGGATTATGAACGACGAGTAAGTTTTTGGCTATGCGTACAATAAAATTTTTGTTCTGCATTAACAAAAGTCACAACCCTAGTTGTGGAAAAAACTATGTAAGACCCTTAGACGTTTAGATCAGCACAAGACTTCGGCGAAGAACGTTATTGGAAGTCATAATATTTTGAATACCATTATTCAGTATCACAAATACTGTTGTACAGATGAGATTAGATGTCTCCTTCTGATAATTTCGTTTTCTACAGCCTTACGGCGAAATGTTCCTGAAATCTCGCCATAAGCAGAAACGAACCCTTGTTTACTGCCCCCACTGACTTCAGAATACAAAACAAGCATCCGCCATCGTCGTCCAGCCACTCGGACTTGCACCATGTTTTCGTGGCCGATTCTTTAGTTTGGCCCGAGTAAAAGGCTATTTTAAAGTTGTTCGATATGTAGACTCGAATGTGCCTTTCAATTTTCAGTTAGAAAGTTCAGGTTTGAGTTTAGTAAAGCATGCTTATTTACGCTTCAAATAAGGTGGGGAAGTCTTTTTTTGCTCCTCGTGTATACGTGGGCCCAGCGGTGCTATCCCTTACATAGCTTGGGAAGTGGAGCCTAGTACGTTCCCACAAAGTCTGAATTGTTGTGATTTTTCAAAGTGGAGCCGTTTACGATGAGTTTACATTCCTCACCACCTGCACACCATTATCAATAAAATTTTACCCTACCTGTAAATTGTCTCCACTGGAGTCGTGCCAAACCAGATTTTCAGATTTGGCTTCATGTTGTAACCCGTCAATTCTATACGAGCCATTGAATCGCTGCCCGTTATATCCAAGCCATTAACTACTGGCACCGGCGTGATCGGCTGCGATACGGGACCCATTGCCTCGTAGAAACGGTACTCAGCCTGAAGAATTGTAGCATAGAGTCAGGAACCAAGGGCGAAGTGAAGGAGCAAAACGTCCAACGGCACCTTGTCGGTAGAAATAATCGTCCAAGCGGCACCGTCACTGATTTGATGATGGGTTGCGTCGATTGGAGTTGCCTTAATAACAGGAAAATCAACCTCTTATATACATTTGGACACTATCCTTGTTCTGGTGAGCTGGAGAACTCATTACATCGAAGAGGAGAAATCAGCAAATGAATGAGATATGTGAGAAAATGGCCAGCCGACTAGGTCGCGCGGATAATGTATCGAGTGTGTAAACACAAGGAAGCAGGCGACGATTACGGTAGCCGAGAAGTGGCGAAAATCGATGAGCTCCGTGGAAGGCCTCCATGAAGCGAATAGGAGGCTAACGGGATTTGCACAGGGAGCTGCGACCAACCTGATGCTGAATGATCTTGTCATGGCTGAGACACAGGTAGACGGTTTCGTTGTCGATCATCTGGAACGCGCACTTGTGCAGTTGTGACACCGGCTCCTCGTTTGTCGTGGCGTCAAGGATAACATGCTGCTTATCCACCTGGAATTTCAGGAATTGGTTGCTGATAGATTGGCCCTCCTACACCTCGATGCAACAAACTTTTCGAATTTTAAGACGAGGTAGCGCAATTCCCGTCACGCTATCAACCAGTTTCACAACTGAGCCGTAGTATACAAAGCCGTCTTTCACTGTGAAGTTCTCTGATTCTGGAGCCGTTGGTTCATCGTCGACTGAAAAGGCCGTTAGGGTTTATATGAGCCCAAGAGCAAAGTCAGAGAAGAAAATCGCTGACTCACATAGATGGATCGTGAATGCTCCCCATTTGGTCGAGCTCGCATGAAATGCGCCATTATCCACATGCAAGTAACGAGTGCTGACAGTCTGAGAGCGAAGGCGATTGAAGAAGACGCAAAACTGACCGGATTTTCTTACCAGAAAAAATTGTCGACAGAAATGAGAAGATAAGTACTAAAAATGTTGTTGTGTTGACGAGATTAACAGCAAAAGAAGTTTTATTTATTCTCGAAAGTATGCGATCTTCTGAGAAACCATCTTGACTTGGGAGAGAATACGGCGATGTGGTGATGGAAGATTGGCGATGCAGAAGAATCTCTAGTTATGGAGGTAGTATTCAGATATTTTTTTGAAAAGCGTCAAGAAATTTTTTTCGAAATTGGAAAAATCTCAGTATTTCTATCGTTCGGAATACGGTTTGTGAGTTTGGGGTGATGTACTGGAGCTTAAATAGAGGTCGATAGGTAGGACGGCGCAGAATGGATGACGAGAGACGCGGGTCATTGATAGACCATAGGCAGTTACCAAAAATTCAAACCACATGTTCTGTATTGACTGATTTCGGCAGCGGTAATGAACGTATTGTGCAAATTGAGTCTAGCCAGTGACGGTATGAGATATGTGCAGCTTCCGATCCGATTTGTCCTAATTGACTTCATGCATGCTGAGTATGATTGGGATAAACCCACGGAAGCAATTTTGGGGAAAAAATAAGAGAGCTCAAACACAGTGTCCCCCATTCAGAAGCAGAAACTAACGCAGGATAAACACATGCACCATTTTCCACTGGTACCTCCAATATTTTCAAAAAAAAAAAAAAAGCTTTGGGACGCTGTTTAAGAGGAAATACAAGAAGATGAATTGGCGTATAAAGGAATGTGAGTGACAGTTTCTCCATATTCCTCACCAGATGAAAAGGTTTGGCAAGGTTTTCCTAGCTCCTCCTTGCACTCAATAAAGTGAAATGAAAAAAGAATTCGAAGGCGTTCTATGTCCTTTGACGATCTTGAAACTCACTTTGGTTCTAGACGCGATACTACAGATATTACAATCTTTTCTCATACCTGCCTTCTTCTCGACTCGGCTGACTGCATCAGCCTCAATCAATGGCCATGATATTTCACAAGTAACCGGTGAAGATGTACCGGAAAGATGTTCAGCTTACTTTGATCCGTTGCGATAAGAACAACCCTATTTCAACACCGCAACCATAAAAGAACTGAATTGATAGCTCAAAGTATTTTCTCTTGTCGGAATCACTGATGTAGAGGGTTTTCGCAGCACAGTAATCCTGGAAAAAGTGGCACTTATGAACACTTGTAGGGAAGAGTTCTGATCTCAAACCAACCTTCCCATTCGAGAAATCCAACTGCTGTCTTTCTTGATCAGAGGGAGCACCAATACCGATGAACGCGCACAGCTCACTTGCTTGTTGTTCCTANNTAAGATAGCCAAATCAGATGAACGAAACAGCTCGGTCGCGCTTTTGGAAGCAGCAAGATTGCACAAGCTTCATCCTTTACGCGAATGTGGCACAGGAAGCTATTTGCGATCAGGCTGTTGCTCAAACCCCAGTTTCAGCTTGACTGAGGCCACGATCTCGCACTTCAGACTTTCCATCATCATAAGATTTCTTTTCAAGGGAAGAAGCTCGATAAACCCAAGTTATTCGTGGAGCTATGCAGGACCTAACACATGCCTACTGTGCATCAAACGACGCCATCATCATTGAAAGGTGGAGAAAAATCGGCCAATGTTTACCAGTGACAAAGAAAAATGGTCGTACCATGACGCACAAAGAAAGTGGAGCTGTCAGGATGCTTGAGTTTGACTTTCAGCAGATTTCGGGTGAGAGGACTGCAGATCACAGGTGAATATAAGAATGGCACTACTCTCAATAAGTAAACAAAACAAATTCCTCATAAGCTTCAGTTAACCCTTAATGAGGGAAGTAACCTTAAACCAAACTTAAGGAGGACTCGATTGACCCGGTGTTCAGCTGAGGTTTACCCTGCAAGGGTTGTGGAAAGAGGACACGAAAAAATCTGCTTAAGACTGACGGCTAACATGCAGAGCAAGCCAGGGATTCGACACGGGTGCGAATGCAGGGTACACATCAACGCAATTCATGAAGGTGTAATAAACAATTTTTCCTTTCTTAAAGATTTCCTCTACTAAGATTCCCAACTCATAGGCAGTATTTGGGCACGCAAGTGCTAACGAAAAGCCCGAGCGAGAAAGAAACATACAGAAATTCGTTCATGTTCCGGACCGAGTTCGGGAGCGACTCCCATCCGCTTCTGATGTTCCTTGAAGGATTTGTACAGCGATTCTACCTAAAACTCGCGTATCCACAGGGAGGTTTTTCCAGAAGCATAACCCATAAAGTTGAGCCAAACTCACCCGATTACGCTTTTCCTTCCATCCTTCGCCCAACAAATAGATACATGGAGGCGGACAAAAGAACCTAAATCAAGGCTTCATAACTCCATTCAACATCCCAGCCTACACCTACAGTAGTCAGAAATAAATTAAATCCAGTAATAATGAGTATCACGTTTAAATGTTGACCAACTACCACCTCATTTGGAGCGTGAGAAAACACCGTAATCGCAGTAACACCAACAAATCAGTTGATATGAAATGTGGCTGAGGACGCTTGTACTTTAGTACGCGTTCCAGGTTACGCGGTCCCCAGAAAGGTTCAGGCCGTACCAAGTGATTTCAACTTTCCCGAGAATGCGTGCCAAAGTAAGTCGCCAGGTCGACGATTACCGTAATCCCTGCCAGCCATGCATTATTAGCCAATTACCATCAATATGTTCCTTTATTGTGAGAATCGGCGCACATTATCTATTCTATTCATAATCAAATTCTTCGACATCGACATCTTCCAGATGATCGATCGAAACCCAAACTACGACTCACCGACCACTGTACCGTATTCCATATAGATGCACATTGTTGATTTTCAAGAGTTTGTTTAGTCATCCAACGACTACCGTAACCGAACGGAAACACCCCTAAGACTGTTAATAGGGTGCTACGAACAGGCAACACGCTTATCGTCGTCCACATTTAAGAGATCTGCGTCAATTAGCGAAGTCGCGCAGCAATCTGCGTTTGCTATGCGTCGTATGCTAATTGAGATAAGCCGGAGTGTGCGCGATTAGGGTTACGTCTAGAAGCGACAGCTGACAACACACAGCTCAAGTGCGCGAAACAGTAACGTCTCTGGGAGCGCCACTACCCATCTCAGACAGGTGTCACAAGCTCTTTGTGGTCACCGCTTTTGGAGCCATTCCTACCTGTACCAATATGAACCAACCTTTTCTCGTTACCGTACGACTTTTGAGCGACTTTCGCATGAAAGATGGTAATAACGCAGTCATACTGGTCCCTGTTACACAAGTATTGCGCCATTCGCTCACTAAAAATAACAGATTACAACCAGGAGGGTTGAAAAACGACCTGAATCAAGTGATACCTAGTCAGTGGCTGAGGAGTATCTCCAATCGCTAACTGCAAAGGAGCTGAGTGAACTACGGGCTGAATGAGTGAGGAATATGGCGCAGCTGATCCATTGAAGTCACTACCGAGAAAAGAAGACGAAGCCGAAACATTGTAGAACTGATCTGAAAATATTACACTTAGCATTTTCATGCCACACGCAGCCAAATATGCACAGAATCGGCCTCAGTGAAGCGCGGCCGACCGTTTTGAACACCGTTTCCCACTGCACGCGCCTTTGTGTCTGCTCCGCTACAATAGACTACTCAATGTTCGGTATCATAAAAAGAACATGGGACAACCACCCGGTAAGGCCCACAGGATTCAAAACCGAGGGGCACGCATCTCGTAAATAGTCACAGAACAACCTACCCATTCCGCAGTGAGCAAGACCCTGTTGTCCGTAAAGAAGATGTCGCGGATGAATCTGTGAAGGAGGAGGTACTGCTGGCGGTTGAAAATTGCACGGAAACTGTCCGATATTCCACATGTCGGTTGGTTGCGGTGGATAATAATACGAGCTGGCCGACGAGACGTCCTGCACTGGTAGGTGATAAGCAGCGGATCGAGTGACCACCGAAGCATCGTCACCGCAGTACTGATGCGGATCGACGGCACCGGAAGGTGGAGGAGGGGCACTCGCTGCGGCTGAAGATGCCGTCTGGTAATCCATGGCGGGAATCTCTCGTTCGGCCGACACAAGAGTAGTGTGGGATGGGAATCGCTCGCACGTTGATGCACACAGGCCCGAGAGGATCTAGCTGTGGGAGTCTCCCACTAGCTCCCCTAGCACCAGCCAGGGCAGCCCATGGGGGCGTGGCCATGGCGTCTCCGCCAATGAGCACCGCCGCCGCCGTCAGCAGCAGATCAATGCCCCTGAAACGGTATTCCAGAAGTCAAAATCTTGCGCTTTTTCAGCGACGTCTGCTCACAGTCAAGCTCACAAGGAAGCTTTGAGAGAAGCAAGTTCAGCAAAGTTGCCGAGATGACCAGGGCAAGCGAACCTATTGACAGGCGATGAGAATCCAAGAGATTGCAGGCTAATGAAGGAGAACAGCGAAGCATTACACACTTGACGGAATAAGTATAATATTTTATCGAGAAGCACATGGAAGCTGAAGCAAGCACATGTGCGTCGAGAGTAGCATCGTGATTCATTTATCATAAAGCGAGCCTATTGTTTGAAGAGGGCTCATCTTGCGACCAGCTGATGTCTCGACTCGACCTCGCTTAACTCCTAAAGCAAGCGCGGTTTGTTAACCCAGCGATAAGCTATGTCGCAATCGGGAAAACAAGTGAGAGTCCTCAGTCCGTGAAGAAAAATTTGGAAATTGCTTTAAAAAGAGATGAGAATGAAAAAGTTTAGAAGAGGAATGAGATCTACAGTGTTCCATAGCAAAGCTAGCAAGTCATGCCACGAAGTGAGACGGCAAACACTCGACAAGTCATGGGAGGGTGGATATAGCGGCTCATCAGAGCCATCGCTTCACTCGGCTTTGTGTACGCGAAGCGCTTCGCGACAAACTTGGCCCCGCAATTCACACAAACAGTTTGTCGATGAGGGCGCATGCTTAGTTAGAACGCACCGTGCATTTCTATGAAAGGGAATCTCGAAAGAAAAGCTGATACTGAACTCACCATCACAGTCGGATAGGTTCGAAGAATAACGACAGTTCATTCACGCTAGGCCACGAAGCAACTTAACACAGATAGCTGGTGACGTATTGAGCGCCTGATAAGACTGTGCTTCTCGGACAAAGCACGGGAAGTTCGCTGCGGCATTCCTCGCTAAAGTTCTATGACGACTACTACTACTTACGATGGAGTGCTTGTTTTATAAGAATTTTACTTTATAGGTATTTTTAAGCTTTCAGTAAAGTTTCGGAGAACTTCCGAGGTTATAAGTTATAGCGTAGTGTCCTCTATTCGAGTACGCCTAGCTTCTGACCCCTGGAAGCAACCTCGAATGTAAATTTGAAATTTGAAAAATACCAACAATTAAAGTGAGGTTTTCGCGCAGAATATTCTTTTCCATCAATGGATGTTGGTGAAGAATCCAACCTCATCGCAACTCTCACTTTTTGCACAATAGATGTGGAACTAAAACGGAATCCTGAACGACTAATATTCCTCACTCGCATTGATTACCGTGAGAAAGCGTGCCTCGCGCTATACACAATCTCACCGCTGGAATCACTTGCTTTTAGCGGTGAAAGGAAGAGAGAGGAGTGCCAAGTCTCCCCTAGCAGACTGGAAGGACAAATATCTAGACGATGCTTCTAGACAATGTGAGTTAGAATTTCCCTTGACAGTGTTTTCAATCGTTAAATTATGTTATTGAAGATGCCGCACAAGCTGGAAGGTGACTTCCACCAATGAAAAGTGAAAAGATTTGGTGAAAAAGCGTCGATAATGAGACTGTGAATGCTGAGTTAACTAAAATGAAAAAATAAAGCAAAACCAATTGTAGATGAAGCCTTGAAAAAGAACTCCTTCTCTTCCCCTGAGTGAGATGAATGTGTCGTACGAGTTGTCTGAACTTGCTAACTCCACGGCTATGCTAACCCACGCGCCTTTGAATAAGCCGCTCGTCCGTAATCACACGTGCGTATCTGGTGAGACATGTGCACGAGTATCTCGTCCCAGTATTCATGATTGCTTTGTTAGGCCCTCCGCTTAACTTGCCGAATCACTTTCGAGCTACGACCAACGGCAACATTTGGACAACGTTACCCTATCAAATCTACAGAAGATTCGTCAACAGACCTCATCTAGGGTTGTTGCTTTCAGGTTTCAGTGGTTAAAACGAGGTAAACTTCGATCTAGAACATATATGAAGTTGCTAACCAAAAAATAATGTGTAGATTTGAATTAAAAACAACAAAACAACGACTAACATAGGCATCCTTGGAATTGATTGTGCGTAATGTTTCGATTCACCCGAGTTACGGAGGTTTTCAAACGCATATTGGCCTCATGAGAGCTCAAGAGAATTAACTGCATAAATGAACAAAGTTCTCTCTTTCCGAAAATTGAGCAAAAATTTCTCATGCTTCAGCGTCAACTAACAACTGGCTTGATTTGTAGAAGCATTAGTAGAAGTACCCTAAGGGGGACAAGGTGCAGGAATTCCTGAGATACCCTAAAAACAGCTCAAGGAGGAATTCACGATAAGAACGAAGGTCGAAGAAGGGGAAATTGCCTAGTTGGGAGACAGGCGGACCTCCTGAGGGTGCTGACCGACGCGCAATTGGCAGCGAAAGATTTGACCTCGGCGATCTAGCATGGCTCACTCTTGGCGCGGTTGGCGGGGTACGCCCACCGACTATCTAATCACTCGCCGCAGGTCTATACGTGGCGAGTGATTAGATAGCAGAGAGAGCGTAGTGTTGAAGAGGGCACAGCGATGAGAGTCGCATCAATGCGCAAATCAACGGGCAAGGAAGGGGTCCCATTTCTCGGGTTTCGGGCCGTTTCAAATGGTTTCTTCTTCATCCCTGCTCCACTGACCACCTCTACCCTTATTTCCAATGAGCTAACTTTTCATCGTAAATTCTGCCTTCAAGAGTTCAATATTAATACATCTTGAAGTTGAGCGGAAGTTCCCCATCGTTCCTTCTAACTACACGGACCTACGATTTTTTCAATATGTTTGATAGTTTTTATGGTCCCTCATAAGCTCGCAAGCATCCGCACATTTTGATATACAAGAATTGCTTAATTGTTACAACCTGGAACTTACACAATAGCAAAAAAAGAACATTGATGTTGAGTACAACATATCCAATTTCAATTGTAATTTTTTGGATTTCTCTGTAAGCTCTAAATGGAAACTAATACGCCATATTGAAAACCTACTGAACACCGCGCACCTTCGAATGGCATCAAACTCGTCGAAAACAGCTGATCAAGTTCAAACGCTATTAGTCAACAATGCAAAAAATCTGCTCAATCTACATTGGAAATGATGACAAGGGTTCGTGATCTGCGGTGGTGATAATTTTCCTTGCGCAGTGGTGAAGTAATAAGTGTTTCTCAGGAGCCTTTACCCCACATCGCGCATTATGCGCTAATTTTACCACTTCACATAATTTTACCTGAGTCAAACTCTGCCAGGACCCAATCCATCTACCTAGCCTTGCAAGCGCGTTGAGCCATTTCTTGTAATTCATATGAAGGGAACCTATCGCTTCTCAACTATTGCACCCACCTCTTCAGGAAAAATACCAGGAGAAGAAGTGCTGGTATAACATTTTTCAAATTCTCGCCATTTTCCTTTCCGAGCTAGACACTTTCTGAACGACTTCCATTCTGCCACTCGTAATTCTGCTTTCATTCCCCTTCGAAGGACAGAATTTACGATGAAAAAGCAACCCATTTCAAATTAAGTTAGGGATGGTGAGTGGTACACGAAAGAAGGAAAAACCATGAGAAACGGCCCAGAACCCGAGAAATGGGACCCCTTCCTTGCCCGTTGATTTCCGCATTGATGCGACTCTCATCGCTGTGCCCTCTTCAACACTACGCTCTCTCTGCTATCTCGCCACGTATAGACCTGCGGCGAGCCGATTAGCTGGTTGGTGGCGTCCGCCAACGCGCAAAGAGTGAGGTCCATGCTAGATCGCCGATTGGTCAAAATCTTTCGCCTGCAATCTGGCGCGCGAGTCGGCATCCTCAGAAGGCTTGCTATCTCCCCACTAGGCAACTTCCCCCTTCTTCGACCTTCGTTCTTATTGTCGATTCCTCCTTCGAAGAAACTCGTTCATAGAAAAGATCTTGTAGGCACAGCAGCTAGCAGATCACCACTTCCACATTCACCTTTCTTTAAGGAGGATTCTATGATAAGGACGAAGAAGGAGAACTTAGCTAGTGGAAAGACAAGTGGGCCCCTGTGCGTGCGCGCCGAAACACAATTTGCAACGAAGGATATGTCCCTGCTGCCCCTGCGATGTGACATTACCATCTCCAGGGCGCTATCGATGTGGCACGTTCACCGACTGGCTAACCACTCGCCCAATACCATAGAGAGCGTTAACGTTGAAGAGGGCAGCAACGATAACAGTCGCATCAATGCGGAAATCAGCGGACAAGAAGGGGCCCATTCTCGGGTTCTGGGCCGTTTCTCATGATTTTTTCTTCAATCCGGCACCACTGACCACCTCTACCTTCAATTCTAATGAGCTGCTTTTTAATTGCAAATTCCGCCCCAAAGGGGAGCCTCAGTACAGTATAAAAGGCGGTAAGGATTGAAGAGTGATATGTAACCGTGCAGGTCTAAAAACGGTAAAGGCGAATAAGTAAAAAGGCCTAAGACGGACATAGTGTAGTAGACAGTGACCCCACACATTACGCGCACGATTCAGGGAAACCTTGGACCGTACACTGTTTTCAGACCACTCAAACCTTTCACCCATTCGAAATTGGTGAACTAATATGTCTGACTAGACGGCAACAGGTTGATCTATATCCAAATTTGCTAAATGATTTTTTGAACGCAGGTTTAGAGCGGAAATGCACAGTGGTAATGGTCCGCTTTCCAGCGCAGGTGGCGGTTGGATTAAATACTTGCTAAGTTTGCAATTTGCTCTTTCCAGCAACATAAATAGAAAAATTTCTGACATTATTACTGTAGCAATCCTTCATTCAGATGCCTGTAAAATGAGTTTGCAAGCA